GACCTGTTGCTGTCTAAAGTGACCTCGACGAAGTTGAAGTTACAAAATGTGGAATTAAACTTTTATTCTGCCTATTTCATCGTGGGTACACGTTTCAAGCTACCCATTATAGTGCCATAAAGCGAAATGTGGCTTCTAACAGGTCAATTTTCGTCAATGACCTGGAAAATAAAATAAAATTGCAAATTGCTGCGATACGCCAAGCTTGTATAGCATTTATTTTACTCAAAATATTTTGAGTTTTGTATACATAAAATACGTCAAGTAAATAAATTACGTTCCCACAAAAATGGTCTGCATATAAGAAGACGCAAAGAAAAGACAAAAAATAATACCGAATTTATGAGACCCTAAACTGAATTGGATTGGTCATGTTTTACGCAGAAACTGCCTTCTAAAAGAAGTTATTGAAGGAAAGATAGATGGGCGGATAGAAGTGACAAGAAGACGAGGAAGAAGACGTAAGAAGATGCTGGATGACCTTGGGGACAGAAGAGGATACTGTCATTTGAAGGAGAAAGCTCTAGATCGCATTAAGTGGAGGAACTGTTTTGGAAGAGACTGTGGACCTGTCGTCTTGACAGATTACTGATGATGATGATGATGAAACTGAACGAACTTAAAGCTGTATGAGGCTTTTGAAATTGTACGCTTCACTTGCTGGGTCTTTACCACGAACTCAACAAACCTGAGCCATCGGAAACTATTTACTGGCACGGCGGCCAAAGTATTCCGAAATTGTGAATGCATTGGGCCTATCTGTCGTTCTGCACGGCGAGTAAAGACGACAGAACGCACTCGATCCGACGAGACAACAGGACTTGCTTATGTTATATGAGAGACTAAAGGGGCCACAAAGACGATCTTCGAGAATTTATTTCTCAGGAATTAACAATGTAACTTGAACGCTTACTGTGTAAAAATAAACCATGGCTTCAAAATATGCATTAGAAGCCTAGAAATAAATACGAGGGTAAGTCAGAAATTATCCGCACTTTCTCCATAACACATCTTTAGGTTTGTCACACTTCCTCCTACGCATGCATTGTTGGAGTTGGTACTACTGTGGTCACGTGATCGAAGTATTACCTTGATCGTATCATTTTCCTTGATGCTGTGACAGTGTAAACATGGCCGCTCTGCTAGCAGTGTGCACCAATGATTAACAAAGAATAGTGACCCGATTTCTCTCATTGGAAGGTGTGTCAGGGGCTGAAATTCATATGTGGGTTCATCACTATGAGCCAGAATCCAAAAGCCAGAGTGTGGCGTGGAAACACCCGGGATCGCAAACGAAGATGAAATTCAAGACTCAAATCTTTCGTGGGATAGGTGATGCTAACAGTTTTTTGGGACTCAAAAAGGCCTATACTGGAAGACTACCTGGAAAAAGGGTGTACGATCAACAGTGCAAGATACAGTGATTTGCTGGCCAAAAATCTGAAGCCAGCAATTCGCACCAAACGCCGAGGGCTATTGTCGAAGAAAGTGTTGTTGTTGCATGACAATGAACACTCTCACAAGGACGGCCAGACGGTTGAAACCATTAACCATTTGTGTTTCGAGGTGCTGGAACACCCTGCCTACAGCCCAGATCTCGCCCTTTCCGACTATCATCTCTTTGGACCGCTCAAAGATGTTTTACGAGGTTTTTGACTTTCTACGGACAAAGAAGTGGGGGAAGCGGTGCATAAATGGTTGCGCGACCAACCGAAAACCTTCTTCGTGGAGGGAATACGCAAGCTTTTGGACCGCTGGACCAAGTGCATCGAAAAGGGAGGAGACTATGTAGAAAATGAAGTACTTGTTCAACCCCTACTTTTGTATATATGGATTGGAAAAAACAAGAGTGAGGATAATTTTTTACTTCCCTACGTAATAGCAGCTATAGTAACAGCACTACATGAATGATTCCAAATTAGCAACATCTAAGGCGACGCCAATTTATTGGGCCCATGGTAGTGACGTTGCAGGCATAACGCCCACTCTCAGATGTACCTCACTGTCTAGCTGGAACTCAAAATTTTATTTTCATTCAATCCAATTATGAAGTAAGAGATGTCTGGAGAAATCTATATGTGGAAAGCGTCTTAATTTTACTTCATTATTGATTATTATCAAGAGCCGGTAAAGCTTAGTAGGTATAACTACAAGTTGCACAACTAAGGGATTGGAATTCGAGTCCCAGTAGGGTCAAGAGTTTTCATTTCTCCGTGTCGTCCAGACCGGATTTAGGGCCCATCCAGCCTCCTAACCAATGGGCACCGGGGGCTATTTCCCCGGGGGTAAAACGGCAAGGGCGTCCAGCTGACAACTCACCTACCAGCTGGTGCCGAAGTCTAGAAAACGTGGGTCTATACATCTTCTCCCCCAGTATGTTTTCATAGCGTAGTGATTAATTAGTTAAGCACAGGGACAATTTTACCTTTAACTTATCGAGTATTATCATGGGTTGAAATTAAGGGTAATGGGGTTGGCGGGTTACGTAGCATTCATAGCAGGTAACAAAAAGTCCTCTTACACTATAGACCTGCATAGAGAAAGAATGAAGCAACTGCGAATTCCGAAGACTCGACTCAGTTCAGTTCCTCTGCTCCCAAGCTCATATCCAGACAGGCTGGCGTTTCGAAACTTTACTCAGTTCTTCTCAACTGAAATCTTCTTTATAACCACTCTGCACGGACCATGCAGAAAACACAGCGTCTCCATTATTTGGGAAGGCGCATTTATAGCGCCACTGCATAGCAACGGAAGTTACTCGATTGTTGCTTGCGTACTCGTTGCCACGGGAATGTGTTTACCGAGTAGTTGCCTAGCAATTAACATCTATTCTGACTTCACTATTCCGGCTTTCGGGCGTCATATCACAGTATTTTCTTACAGCATAATGGTTGAGGAAACTGCACTTATTATATCTTTATTATCGTCTAAATGACACCAACTTCTTTGCTTTTTCTTTCTTTGCGTATGTGTTTCCTGTTTTCCTTCATACTTCAAAACTGGCCTTTGGGCTGCTAAGTAAGAACGTAAATACATATGGAATTAAATTTCATCATCATCATCATTTTACGGGATGATGATGATTACATCGTCCCGTCACCTAACACCCTCCTTTGGATTATTATAAAGGGGCAAACCTCTTGAGTACCAAAGTTATGTTTTCCAAACTACAACATAATTCCATGTTTGGGAACACTTTAAAAATCACAACTTCCAACAAGGGAAGTAAGTTATAATTAGATGATTTGGTACAAATGGAGAAAATACGATCATCAGACAACTTGAAATGTTGACCTGTTTACAGAGGATTGCCAAATCTCTCGCTGGACTTATCAGCCACGTTTTCTTCCGTGTGTATAACAATGTAACAGTAAATATCAGTACACACGCGGCATTGTGGCGGTTTGTTTGCTTGCCTGTTTTTATCATGAGCCACACCCTCCTGCTAACCATAAGCTCCGCTACGCGATGGGGTGGCTTCACATTAAATTATTGAGTAGGTGTATGTGTGTTCTGATGAGTGCAAAAACGACTCACGGGCTAACAACTCCATCCCCTTTAAAAACAGCCTCTATGGCATCTTGCCAAATACGGCTATCTCGGTTAATCCACTAAAGGTAATCGGTTAACCATTCCTCTATTATATGCAAGACGCTGAGATTAAACTATTGACCCTTCTAATATAGTTCATTAAGTACATTTTTTTTCCTTGGCACTACCGCCCCAGTGGGCCTAGGCCTACCTCCATGAACTTCTCCGTTCACTTCGGTTTTTCTAGATCTTACACATTCAGTAGGATTCCTTGGGCGGGTGATCAGCCCGTCGCAAGGCCTCTACCTGTACACAAACACAGAAAAACGCACACACACAAACTAAACATCCATGCCCTGAGTGGGTTTCGAACCCATGATCCCGGTTTCCAAGCGAGCGAAGACAGTACATGCTTTAGACCGCTCGGCTACCGTGACCGGCCATTAAGTACATTACATAGGCGAAATATATCCCGCCGTAATCCAACAGTTAACAATATCAATTACACGTTACCATGGAAATACGGTAACAGATGGTTTTTACTTAAGAAATGAGAGGATTAAACACCATTCACTTCCGAAAGTTTGTATCTAGTTCAGAATTTAATAAAAAACAAAGTAGCTATACAAAAATAATTTTAAGGCAGATGCAAAATTAAAATAGGCTTGCATTGCGAATAAAGGGTACTCTTCTGGAAATTAGGACAAATTTTATATAATTTATAGTATTGAAGTGTATAACTGGAGACCTGCACTGTAAACAACAACATGACATTCCCCCAATTGTAAACATTGGCTAATGAAGGGGGCATAACAGAGAAAGTTGAGAGCGACTGTGTAAGTACTCCCTGATGATGGACAGAAATAGTGGCCGAAACATATCGTAGTGTAGAAACTGCATGATTATCTTATACTATCTTATATCTTATACATATACTATGAGAACCCCGACTCCTTGGTCGTCCAGCCTGTAGCCAGTCGCTATACGGACTGGGGTATGCCCACTCTGTTACTGCTTATTACAAACACACAAAAAAAACTGAAAGATTAAATTTAAACGAAAGTTCTATATTTCATTTACAGAAAATGCTGTACAAATGAAACTTCTCAGGACGTTTTCTTATGCGCTTTTGACGTGTGTCTTGACAATGTACGAAAGGGTACATCTCATGCGCGCCCTTATGAGGCTTCAAATACACATATTCCTCCGATCCAGAATCGCTGGAATAATCTAAGCTGTGCACAATTAAGACAAGTTTCTGCTGACACAAAATGAAACAAACGTTACGGGCACTTGCAGCTGTATCCGTGGACCGTCCTCAAGGATAATACCGCATCCAGTTTCGTTAATAGTTGTTCAGTCCTGTAAATCATTCACAGGAAATTTGTGCCACTTGCCGTAAATGACTCTCGTCACGACATTCCAAATTTCCCAGAGATATCTGAAGTGAAGATAAGAACGCTACTTACGAAACGGGGTCGCTACTATCATCGTCATCATCCTGGTCATCCTCGCTGTCGTAGAAGACGTCATCATCTCCGTCATCATCCTCATGACTGTCTGCCGCCGCCGCGGCTGCTGCTGCAGCTGCCTTCCTCTTCGCCTCTTCCTCAGCCAGGAACTTGGACTTGGGAATCACCACGTCTCTGCAACAAGCAGAAATCCTTCCGTATTGTCCGCATGACGGCTACTACGAGACTGTGCAAGGTTCACTGCTTCACAGACTTACGTCATGGCCTAACGCACAAGACGACAAAGACAATACTGGAACACAAGAAGGAAGAAGTAAACGTGTAATTAGGATATTGGGCCTATAACTGGCAAGCTCGTGATTTATACAGGACGAACTAACTTGGTAAAGAAAGAGAATGAGAATTTTTCCTGTAGTTTTGTATGGGTGCAGAACTTGATCTCTGACATTAAAGAAAGGAACAAGGCAGACTGAGGGTGTTTGAGAATGGGAGCTGAGGAAAATATTTGGACCGAAGAGGGATCAAGTGGTAGAAGGCTGGAGAAAATGAGGAGCTCCATAAATTGTACTTTTCGCCAAATATAATTAGGATGGTCAAGTCAGAGAAGATGGGATGGGCAGGGAATGCAACACACATAGAAAAAAAGAGGTATACACATATGATTTGGTTAAGAAAACAGAAAGGAAGAGACCACTACGACGACTTAGACATACATAGGATAATATTAAAATAGAGCTTAGAAAAATAGCATGTGCTGGTATGGACTGGATTCACTTGGCTCGGGATAGAGACCAATGGAGGGCTTGTGTTAACACGGTAATGAACCGTCCTGTTCCATAAAAGTTTGGGAAATTCTTGAGTAGTTGAGCGACTGGCACCTTCTCAAGGACTCAGCTCCATGGAGTTAGCTAGCTAGCTAGCCTGGTACTGTCAAGGTACTGAAATTTAGGAGTTCTAGATGGGAATGTCAGAACTGGTGTAGGGAAGCCTTTTGGAAACCTTTTAACTGAAAGACCGAGAAGTAGGCGAGAGGGCGCAGACGTGCAGGAACATGGGTTGAGTCTGGAAGGTGAATAGAACTGCTTTGCAATCATATATCATCAGGGTTGAACCTCCTTGTAGTGACAAAGCAAAATGAGTGCAACACTTTTTCTCCAACTCCCTGACATGAATACATTTGCGGCTCACATCTTCCGTGTGCGGGCTATGCCTGGACGTGTAAGCGCATTTCCTTCGAGCATATCAATTCCGGAAGCGTGTATTCAGTGAGATTAAAAAAAAAACTTTATGGTTTTGAATTTCATAAAACGTCAGCGTTAAGCGTTATCTTTCGAGCTGACAATTATTCTGTTCGTATGTCAGGTGAAAATCTGTTGCGGGGGGATTACGGCCACTGTGGAGCACATTTCATTCTTGTGTAGGGTTACACTGCCACGCAAATATGAATTGAACTGCGTGATTTCAATTTATTGCCTGCACTGTTTAACTGAGCAATAAATATGCAACGACGCTACGATGTTATAGCAGTTCAGCAATCGGAATACAGGAACAATAAAATGTGTAAATTATTCGATTTGTTCGTGTTTTAAAGCTATCCTGATCAAGAAGGAATATTTATAGCGTTTTTAATAAAGTCTGATCATGTAACTATGAAATTTATTTCCATCGAAAAGTATGTGATCCAACTGTACAAATCAAATATCTGTGAAACAAGGCCTCTCTGTCAATTTGTATCATTATTTCATTCGTGATGCATAACATTCCATTTAATGTGGTTATTCGATTAATATTAGGGTAATTCAAGGTCAGACTTTAGGGGGTTTACAATCCTCGTGAACATGTTCGTATAGGCCCTCAAATAGTAATGCGAGAAAGGGTTAGAAAAAGATATCAAACAAAAGAATTGAGCAAACGAGCTACAACTGTGACAGAATTTTTTATATCTCAGTGACTCAGTAGAAGCAATCGAATTAATTTACAATTAAAACCCTTGGAAACAGCAAGAAAGCAAATTATACTCAAAGACAGAGATGGAGTCTAAAGGGGGGGGGGGAACAAGCAAGATACGAAAACATACAAAACACAAATACAATTAGAGATAACAGGGGTATAGTGTCAGGTATTATAAGTTAGACCTAAAAGTTCGGTACACTAAAATAAGTTAGAAACTAAACAACTGGTCATTAGCTCTATAGAGCAGTGGCTCTCTTACTTTACGAGCCCGCGGACCCCCTAGGAACACACAGCACACATGGACCCGTTGAAATGTCATCGGTAAGTCTCATCATCATCTGTTATATAAGCTTCCATACTACTAACTTCCCGGCTGCATCCGCCACCTCACACGAATAACGCGCAAAAATACTCACAGAAGAGACATGAAAAGCTGAAAAAGACTGCTCGCTTGTTCATGAAATATTACACACCTTACCTTCATGCATCGTGTTAACGCTACACAATTCATGTGTACGGTAACACAAAACAGCGTAATTTCAAGGCTTTCATCCCACCTACATATTCCTTTTCATGCAGGCTATAGTCGGAGGGAAGGCTTGACATATGTAATTTATAAAGTTTGGCTAACTTTCTCTTTGCTTTAAAATAGAATAAGGGAGGTTGTTGGTGATGGAAAATATTTGTTCCTGACGTTCTATAACACAAGAGGAACTAGGAGATAGGATGGAAGGAGAGAAAGTTACGAAAGTGATAAGGAAAGGGAGATGGAACAACGGATACAGATAAAAAGACACTAAATTCACCGAGACATTAAATCTGCGCGTTCTGAGATTATTTCGAAATTTATCCCAGTTCGTCCATGAAAATGCCGAAACAGTGACACGAGATGCGTCACGGCTACTTCATTCCACAAGCATCCCAACTCACAATAATATCACACTTATATAATTCCAAACTAAATTACGTTATAGTTATTACAGGTGCCCAAGAATCATACTGTCACGTGTATGAGGTGACTATAGGCGGCGTTCGGATTGGTAATTTGATTCACTGAAGACTTATACATCGTAACTACAAGTAATTACACACTGCAGTTCACTACAGCACGTACTAAGTTTTCTCAGTCTGTTGTTTCTTCAACAGTCATTGCATGGTAACGGTTTCCAACGGCGTACGCTCCACTTTTTCCACCTTCCAGAAATATCCCCGTGCCTCAGCTACTAGCTTCTAACAGCAGCAGCTCGCAAGAACTGAACTACAGTTCTCTGACTAACACATTAATTCACCAACCAAATCTTCATTTCCCTGCACTGCACTAACTCCCACGCTGGCGGTCATCTCACGCCAATCTCCTATTCTTCTGATTCATTCCAGCTCAACTAACTAAATTCTAGACCTCTCCTGCCTCTAATACCTCGGTATGGACCGCGCAGAAAACACCCCTCATTGTTGTAGTTCTATAGTTGCTGTTAGGAATCTGTTGCCTAGCAGAGGGCGTTATTTACAGAGTCACTATTTAGCAACAGATCTACATATAATAATATGATCACAGACGCCAGTGTATTACATATTGTAGAGCGTAGACCGTTAGTGGCTAACGCTCGCAAACAAACACGTTACTCACTAAGGGTTGCGTATTTGCTTATTAAGAATCTGTTGCCTATCAGCAGATGCTCCGTTGTTTCGAGATCGTTAACCGGGAACAGGCCTACACGCTACAATACGCAGAATATAAACCGTATTATGTTTATTATAACGCAGTGGTTAAAAAAATGGTCACCACAAGCCTATGTAAGCATGGATTGATCGGATAGCACATTCATGTTGACGTTTGTATTTTAATTTTAAATTTATACTGCATTCATATGTAAACAATAACAATACAGCTTGTGCAACAAACAAAGATTTCCCACTGAATTTTCAGAGGGCATTATACTATTAAATATACAGCTAGAAGACAGCAAAGAATGCGATTTCTCAAAACGATAATATTCCTAAGTAACAAAGACAACAGATATTTTGATGAAAATCCCTCAAGAGCTCCAAGGACTTGTCAGTAGACTCTATACAGATCATCATCATCATCATCAGTAATCTGTCAAGACGACAGGTCCACAGTCTCTTTCAAAACAATTCCTCCACTTAATGCGATCTAGAGCTTTCTCCTTCAAATGACAGTACCCTCTTCTGTCCCCAAGGTCATCCAGCATCTTCTTACGTCTTCTTCCTCGTCTTCTTGTCACTTCTATCCGCCCATCTATCTTTCCTTCGATAGCTTCTTTTAGAAGGCAGTTTCTGCGTAAAACATGACCAATCCAATTAGCCTTCCGTTTTCTTATTTCATGTAGGATATTCCTCTGCTCACTGACTCTAATTAACACTTCTTCATTTCTCACATAATCGGTCCAACTGATCTTCTCCATTCTTCTCCAACACCACATTTCGAAACTTTCCAGATGTTTCTGATCTACTGCCCTAAGTGTCCATGTTTCAGCCCCATACAGAGCTATGCTCCAAATGTAGCATTTCACTAGTTTCTTCCTCAAATTTAAGTCCAATTTGCTGGTAAAAAGATTCTTCTTCTTGCTAAATGCAGCTTTTGCCATGGCAATCCTGGATTTAATTTCACAAGTACACCTTCCATCATCTGTTAACAAGCTACCCAAATATTTAAAACATTTCACATTCTCCACTTGTTTTTGGTCTATCTTCATTGTGACTGGGATACAGATATACATCAGCATTATTAAAGATGGCACAGAAGCCTGAGAGGGCAATAATGTGGAACTCACGTTATGAGGCCGATATAAGGCAAACTGAGGGAGCAGAATCCATAGCAACGACTGCTTCCATACATGCATATACTGTTTGTCTCAGTACGATGTCATTGCCATCTGATGCTGCAAATCACTTTCAAATCTTCCTTCAATAAAAACATTTATTGATTAGAATTAGACAGAGGGTGTCGCGTGGTCAGCGCAACGGAGCCCCACGGCCGTTAATCTCGGTATTCTAGAACGGAGCCGTTATGTCCTTGAAATATCTCCTCAATTATCCTCACGAGGCTGAGTGGACCCCGTTCCAGACCCACTACTTTTCAGAAAATCTGGTAGCGCCGGGAATCGAACCCGGACCTCTGGATATTTAGCCCGGAACTCTGATCACTATACCACAGAGGCGGTCTACCGTTTAGAATCTCCGTGGAATATTTCGATTAT